TAGTGTTACTGTTAACATCCAATTACAAGTACAATGTTCTCTCACATCGCTTAATGACAGGCGCAGTTTGTAAATAAATAAACAGAGCACTTATAACACTCTAATCTACCTGGTTTTTAACACCTGCTGAATGGCAAATCGGTGTTCTCAACAGGTGCACATGGGCCGGGGTTGTTTTTAATCACGTTAACGATTGCTAGTGACATGGCGAATGTCTTTATATATATATATAACATTTCGTAAGCGGACCCCCTGTTGGGAAGATTGCTCATCGCATTAGACTGCGGGCAACAAGTTATATTTGTCTGTATGACAAGCGTCCCCGACCTTAATCCCCCCCCTCCTTCCACTGTACCTGACAGGTGATACCGATAATTGATGGGTGTCACAAATCATCAACACAAAACGAGCTGTCTCAGTCGAGGATTCCTGGCGCCGCGTTTTTATTTGTGTCGTAGAAGGATGAGCAGGGAGTTCGTCAAGATGACAGATGATAATAGAAATAATTACTGCATTTCCTCATTTCATATCTAACCACAGGTTTCAAAGAGTTCAGAAGTTTTCTCACTGACATGCAGCGGTTTCGTAATCATTCATACGGCCCTGTCACATTGGTCGTGCGATTTTTTTATTCGTAGGACTTTCAGCAAGGCTGTGGCAGAATTGACCGTCGACACGTTTTAGGACGACTTTTTCCGTCACAGGATAGCTGAATGTTGTACTATACATCCACGACTGTCCCAGACATGCCCTCACTTCGCTGTCGACTGTCCTATAACCATCGTACGGCAAATGCGACTATGCCCTAGGCTTACCTTTCCAACCGGCCTACAATTGCCCCCCTCTCGATGATTATGTAAATCACTTTGTTGACGAAACATGGAGAATGAAATCTTGTGTTTTATCTCAACTGTGTGTCGTAGTAGGATAAACGGGGCAATTTAAAGATTAATCATTCAAAGATAAGCCCACGAGATTGATATTAGTTACATTTCCTCCATCCGACAACCCGTCTAAGATCACAGCTTATAATGCATGCTATCATACACAGAAGAATACATTCAAATTTAGGAAGGCAATACAGGAATTTGGAAGACATAAATAATCTCCAGCCATGTAATATCAAGGAGCTCATCAAAGCTGCTTCGTTACCATTCTTCTTTGTTGAATACATACAACATGTCTATCTGGAAACATCGTATACCTGTCAATATCATTGTATATCTTTAATATTTTTGTCACAAATCTTTAAGACTCCTACATTTCAGTGATATTTCATTTACGGTTTTCACATACCTTACATACTCATCCGGTCTTTTTTAATTTTAACGACCAGTTCAGTACTATATTTGACATGGTTTCGTGGTTTCATTCTTTACTTTGAAAATCTTGTTGATTTACTAGCTCTTCCACGAAGACTTTTTAATGTATGTCGATGAAAAAAAAATTTTATCCGAATGAAATTCTGTATAGGAATGAGAAGTTTTGTTAAGTAGTGTTTCTGTCTGTTTAGCTAATGGCCCGCAACATTTACATGTTATCTCTCTACACAAACAACTTATAGGACAAGACACAAGACACGAGAGAGAGGCATATCTACATGTTAACATAGCTTTTATGCTGGATTAGTTGAAATAAAGGAAACACGGCGCGTGCTCTTAGAGAAAATCCCAGTATTGTGGTCAGACAAGGGCGCTACGACAGAACTTTGTTATCTTATCTGTCGGCCTAAAGTCTTCCACAGCTCGCTTCACATCGACTGTTCGCAATTTTGTCTCGCCCTTCTCTCGAGCGACTGGGTCCCTTTTTAAATCATCCAGAAAAGAAAAAAATAATCGGTCAAATGAAGCCATTTAGTTTCGGGCGTTACCCAACAATTAGCCCAATTTACTCGGCAAAGAGCTGCAAAGGTGGAACCTATCACTGGCATATTGTTCGCGGGCAGTTAGCCGATTTTCACAACAATTCCTGTCGTATGGAAACACCTTCAAGGTATCAATTAAGAAGAATGATTGATCGTATTCTTTAAAGGAGCATTCAGGTTGGAGAATGGACGTATCTATCAAGCGCGGTCAGTCAGCCAATGGGAGCTCGTCCAGGTAATTAAGTTACCGCAACTGGCGCCAAAATGTCCCGGGCAGCGCCCACGGGGGGATTGGGACGACACAGTCGCCCTGGGGTTGTGGGTGGTTGATCCGCATGGCTACCAGGCATACCAGACCCGTCCGCTGACCACTTACGAAGAAGCTACGGCCAACTACCCGGATCGCTGGAGTCGATTGAACACTAGATAAAAACATCAAACACAGTATTGCGCAGTTTGTATATGTATACATACAAGGTTTTTTAAGTACCCAAAATGATCTATCAGAACTCGACTCAACGCTTCTCATGAAAATATCAACGTTTACATCAACCGAATTCTACTGTCTTGCAACGACTTGATTTAAATGAGCACCATATAAAGGTAAAAAAAAATAATGGTAGCACATAAGTAGTGAGATCAATTATGGAATCTGAAGAAGGGTTTTGTAAATCCGGTGGGTATTTATTTATTATCTCCCCAGATTAGCTATAGTGTTGTCCTGAAAGTTGTCTAACCATTTAAGACAAGTAGGACGCAAGATGGATGTACGAGATATCTTTCCTCATTTTTATAACCGAAAGATAAAATTGTTTCACCCGATTACGGGTAACTACAAGAAGATAAGCACTATAAATGAGAAATGGATACGGAACTAACGTGATTGTGTCGTTCGATTATATGAAAAATATACTACCAAATGTTACCAAATCCTGTCACCTTGTTCGAGGGGGGGGCAGATTCACTTCTCACAGCGGGATGTTAAGTACTTTAACTGGGTAGTGGGTGATGAGTCAGTAACACAATACTCTGTGTGTGTGTAAACGTTTCAGACTTCCCGTCAGTTTCAAGCATATTTGTATCACATCAAATTATGGGTATGCCAGGAATGTGTGCTGGAATGTCGTCAAAGAATGAATTTTAATAATTCAGGTGGATGGAAAGCTATATTATATTGCTCCCAGGGCTTGGTATTATAATCACTATGTTTGATCAGTAGTTATTATAGGGTGTTGTTTGGAAACTGGGCCAAAGTTCATGTGCGTATTCAAAGTTGTCAATACTTGGATGTAACAACTAACTTTAGAATGTAACAAAAGATAGATGAAGTCGTTTTTGTTGCAAATAGTCGTAATATCTTGAATCTTGATATCTTTATGGATCTCCATTTTTTTACTTTTTGTGTCTTTATGAAAGAAAATATGCTTTGTGTTTGAGAGACAGACAGTTAAGCCTGTATACGTTTCAATTTTTCACCGTGTTGATTCACGAAGAAGACATCACTGTGGTTTACCGCCGCTTCATCGCGCAACAGTCTTTGCAACTCCTTCCTCCAAAAACGTAGTACCTACTTTACGTTAAAACACAGGCAACGTATAGTTGCGAAGTAATCACAGGGTACGACGGGGCCAACGTACAATGGAATGATAAAAACGAAGTTTTGTTGATAAATCTGGCCCGTGTTTGTGACGGACGATAATGGCCTCCCTGACACCGACATGACCCCTCCTCCTTACCAATCAATCATCTCGTACTTAGTGTCACAGTACATGACATTTTCGCGACCCCTCAACACAACAAAACGCCTCTCGGCTATTAACGCTCTGACGTAGATGCACTCAGGTGAAATGGAGTAGGTCGAGTGTAACATTGCACAAGTGGCCCTTTTTATGCACTGGCACGGAAAATACTTCTCAACATGTATGTTTTCTTGCAAAATTCCAAAGCTACGGAAACCTTGGGAAAGTGAAGATGGGTGTTTCTCAAACATTTCAAGCATTTAAAACTACGTCAGTGTAGGTGCCGGATAGTTAGAGTTTTCTGGGGTACTTTATTGCTCCTAATCGCACTCGGTTGATACCGTGCTTGCCAATGGCGCTTTTTGGCACCTTAAAATACTAATAACGACAATTTTCTACCTCTATGAGCAACACCCTCTTCATAATGGTCTTTGTTACCCTAGTATCGCAGACATGCTGTGGCCATGTAATGCCTTCCTATAGGTGCATGTGTATAATATTTGGAGTTATCGAGGAGTCTACTTGGTCATATTGATAGAACAACAGAGAGTGAGAGAGGGAGAGAGATCTATTCAGAAATCAAGAAAGAGTTTTAGATAAATTTAACTGCAATCGAAACAAGGAAACTCTCCTCATTTATGTACAACAGATTTTGCTAAACCTACAGTTTAGAGCAACCCTGTACGTGGCAGTTATCGTGTGTACTTGTCTTGCCACAAGACCGCGCTAACTGTGATATCACTGCTGGCTATATAACTGTCGTTATTTGTTGTCTCGAATCAATAACTCTCACAATGTTAATACGTTGACTTGTCTTGTACTTTCTAAGTTTATTTATTTGTTTCTCAAATTGTAGTATGTGATTTGATTACTTTTTGTATTGTTTTGTAATTTTATTGGTATGGCGGCTTTGAAAAGGTGTTTCATGTCAGAAACACCTGTTTCGCCATGCCATCACAGTGCATATTGTACGTGGTAACTGGAATGAGATAAGAAAGCAACTTGAATGATGAATACGACTTGAAAATCGATGAACGATGACGGAAATATTGAAACAGAAAATAAAGAGACCCACGACAAATAATACCTAATAAACATAAACTAAAAATTGATCTGATCAGTGGGTCCATTCGACACGTGGAAGGTGTTTAGTGACATTCCAACATAGCTCGCAACTAGCTGCAAACGTTTGATCTGAATAAGGTTTGTCAAACATTCAAAACATAACCTATCATCAACACCCATTACGTCACAGACTCAACAGGTATAAACTTTCGCTATTCATCTCTTCTTCTGTATTTGTTTTGACTATCCCCTACTGTATGTTTTCCTCTATTCTTATCTCTTCCATTTGTTTGTCTAATCTAACCAAAACAACAGTAGGTTGACCCGGAAGTCATACTCTATTATTATGCCATTTTTTCTCATCCCAACCGAAACAGTTAACAGTGATAGTATCGAGGAAAAGGTATACCTAGATACGAGAGAAAGGGATACTGAATATATACAGATAATATCTAGAGCGGGCTATTGGTTCTGAATTCGTCTGTAAATATTTTACGTAAAAAGAAAGACCAGTCTAAAGCCAAGTCAAAAAATCTCACGATATGATTTGCTTCCCCGTACTGTATGCATGTTCATGTAGCCTCTTGACACATCTTAAACATCTGTGCACCTGAAGCGTTATTTCTGCATCTGACTTTTTCTTGCATCTGAAGTCTTACCCCACCTTAGGTGTTTAAGCACCTGAAACATTACTGCACCTGGATTTTCAATACACCTGAAGTCTTACGGCACCTCGAGCATTATTATCACCTTACCACACAAAGCCTTATAACAACTGAAACCTACTAAAGTTGACGCCGTCCTGATCACAAAGGAAGGTCCTAAATGCAACGTGTGAACTCTTCACACACAAATCGTCTTATGGCTCCACTGGGACTTTGCAAATATCACAGTTTTCGTACCAGTGGTGAGGGAATTAGGTGTAGACCCTCATAGAGAAAGGTGTCATTTACTCAAATTATCGTCCAATTTAGTGGTCAGGGCGACACATTTCATATGATTTTAATGTTTTCTACAATACAATTTACTAACCCGTATAGTCTCAGAGTAAAACGCAATCCATCAGTCAGACGCGATTTGATAGTATATAATCTACATGTCACCTATTATCGAAAAGTTGGGCATGGGGAGAGTATGATTCCTCAAAATTGTGATGTTATCTTTTCAGTTTTTTTTTAAATTACGAAAGAGAATGCTCGGTTTGCTGCTTCGTCGTTTATGCACAGAAAATTGCAGTCCTCAAGGATAATGATTATACCTATCGCACGTGCACAAATCCTCCTTCAGGCCCCAAGACAACAATCGCACATTGCTTGACCCAGATTGTAAAGGGAAGGCCGTATGTATCATAACTATTATTAAAGGCCTAAATACGATGGAAAATTGGCATAACTTTCCACTTAATTGCATTTTTCGGCGTCCTGATAAGTACAACTCTTGTGCAGGCACGGTATCTGGTATCACCGTTCCCGGCGTGCCTCGGGGCAGACCGCCATGACACCTGCTCTGCAATTCTGACACTAACCATTCAGCTCATTTCTGTGAAGTGATGACCTATAGTCTTTATTATGAGTAGCTCGAACTGTTCACATAGCACCATATATTCGACTTCTTTTTAGAAGGTACATCGATTCAATAGAGTTTTGCTTCTTCCCAAAACAATCGCATGAAAGCTACAGCTTCGTACCGTGTTTCGGAATACTAGTAAACATTGAGCAACAATTAGTAATACTATTATTAATGACCTCCTCCAATAAGTACTTAACTTTCCATGTCTGAAGGCTACAACCTGAATGATATGGATTAACAGCACCAATATGATGTCATAACCTTAAGAAATAATGATGTCCATAATTTGCACATAGAGTTACACTTTCGTGTGTACACGATCATACATATATTGCATTTCACCTACATTACTAGATAGACGATATAACGTTAGTCACTATAATGTACTAGTAACATTAATCATGTCATTAATAATATCTGGGAATAAAATTCTTTTTATGGTAACTAAGTAGCTTAGCATTTGTGTACTGATGGACACAGTAATTTGATAATCTCCGCTATTAGCAAGATTATGACATTGCAACTGGGGTCATTACATGCAACTTAAAGCGCAAAACACTGTTTTTGTGCGTATATGCTGGACATGACAACACATCCCTGTAGGTGACACATTATTCCTGAGATTCAAGAAGTTCAACACACACATAACTTGGTTTTGTTTGATTCGTCGTCGTCGTCGTCAGTACTCGTATTTCTTGACGAATAGCACTACGTTTTGACAGGACAAAACGTTTCGGTCTCACTAATCAACTTCTTTTTTAGACGGCAAGGATCTCTCTAGATAGTCTTATCCATTGCCTGAAGTCATGATCAGTTTATTTTTCTACTTCAAATTCATGATTCGGCGGGGAGAACTAATCAATGGATTGCAACTATACCCCTGAGTTTGTAAGATAAGGCACCGACAGCCCACCACCTCATCCTGTAATCTCTACCAGACCTTCCAGTGGAAAAGCTATATAAATTGACCAAAATAGGGTAATTATGATGTCTTAGCCTGCCTCCTTGCTTTTAAAATTCTCGGGAGCGAAAGAGTGCTTTCACTTCATTTCAATATCAAAGTGGGCATGCGCTGACCGCCATATTGGTGTCCCTGATTTGCATTTCAAGCCGTATTTCAAGCGTGAACGGTGTTTTTACAATTCTACTGGTTTTTATACTTTCTTCTGGTATTTTCTTCTGTTAGTTACTTAAAAGATTTTATTTGGCGTGAAAACGCTTTATAGGATGTAAGCTAGGTCTCCTGAACAGTCATCTACCCTATTCGGGTCGATGAACTTTTTTCCGGATCGAACAGGACTGATAGATACTAACCCTTTCTCGTCCCAACCATACATCACCTCCTATATCATCGCTACACTGTAGTGACCTTCTCCGTTATTTGAAACGTGGGGCAACGGTCATTTCCTAAGACGATGTTTTGCGTCAGGTGCCCCGAATCGGGTGACGTCACTTCCGTCAATGGCCTGGCGTTCCTGAGCAAGATGGCGGCCAGCAGCATAGCAGACGACAGGGAGAGTAGCCCGCCTCCCACGTAAAATAGCGTGCTGTATGTGCCTGTACGGTCGTATATTGCACCTGTTGTGTGGATAGAGAGAATACATTGAATGTTGGTAAGATAAATTCTAAATTCAATCAATGTGTATTCTACTTCAGCGAGAAAAGTGACAATTATAACTGCATTCAGCCAAGGACGTTATATCAACGTGCTTGCTCCAACTTTCATTTAAAGATTATCTGTGCTCCATCTAACTTCATTTTGTTTATTTTTCCCTTCCGATCCTACCCCGCTGAACTTTTGGATTTCTCAGAGTACAACTGTAGCAGTAGACTGACCCAAAGTGCGTCATCAAAACAGTACACTGTCCGATAAAAATCCAAGCGTCTTTCCTACAGGCCAACACCTCCCTAATCAGTACTAGGTGTGTTCTTAGTTCGAGATGGAGTGTTTAGAAGAACGCCCTGTTTGTGACTGTTGTGGCCATTGTGCGTGTTTTCACTCCACCCAGGGACACTGACGAAATCACAGATACCATCAGTCACGCCCTCTTCAGCGAACACACTACAATCCAGTCAGAAACGAGATAAGATTAGAATCTAGACACAGCTTTACCTGGCAATAATGTGATCTCCCCTTAAGCGACAGGTCACAGGTGGTTAGAAAAGGTGAGGAGGCTTAAGATGGCGTTCAAGGAGACTCTAATTTAGCAGAAGATTAATGGCTTAGCTCTGTACATCGTCAACTACGAGACACCATCGCTACGTGGTGATTAATCAACTTATGAGTGACATGTTGCTCAAATTACTATGACGTTCTCAGGTCTTGGTGCAAAAAATTGAAACCGGTTCAATTGTTATATTGCTGTCATCCTAGTCATTTCTAGTAGAATCAAATGGTGAGATAATCAACGCAGTCAGAACTTCACTGCACAGAACTGAGGTAATCTTTTCACTAGCTACAGCACAATAAAAACTGACACGCCATCATAGACATAATTAAGTTTAAAATTCAACACCGGTATAACGTATTGGCTAAACAGTATTTTGCACGATATCGCTGGTCTATATCTAGTTCCTGAGGAACTGGTCTAACCCATATCCATCTCAGAGGCCAACGCCACACCATTACATAAGCTTAAGTACAGTGAGAACTCCGTCTACTGTCTTGTTGACCGTGAGGCATGAACGAACAGCTTACAACAGCTTAGGGCCACTGAAAGGGAACTAATCCTATAAAAGATCGCCGTATAAATACTCGGATTTGTCGGATCAGGAGCTTTCTTCTAGGGGATTCATAGAAAAAGGGAAGCCTCACTAATACCTTTCCGTCTGGTACATTTACCGGGCACGCGTTTTCTAAAGGGGTTTTGTGTTCCTTCCATTCTTACAGCTCTCAGACATGGATGAAATATACAATGGGAGAGAATTCTTTCTGTTCTGTTCTCTTCTATTTGAGGTCCAGCTAAGCTATGTAATGCAAAAATACCAGGAACAAAAGTGAGGCGAAATCGTTGACAGTAACAGTATTGTGTAGTGGTATGTTTGTGTTTGTGTGGTCGTGATCTCAGTGGAGTCTATGACGTTGCTGGGATCGCCTTTCTTTTGTACCTTTAGTACTTTTGTCTGATCTGGTAGATCATATAGACTTAATCAAAACTCACATAGACTTAATCAAATCGTTTAATCTGTACTTGATATCGAGAGATGCAGTCGGTAACAAAAAATTTAAGACTGCTTTCAACATTACTTAGAAGGCGAGACTATCGACGCCATGTTGCGGTGCTGCGGTGAAGTCTAACCCGACCATTTTCTTCACAGAAAACATGCTTCTACACACGGTGTCGTTTTCTTATGATCCTCACCACGATAAAGAATGAATTCTTTGAGGAGGTGAAATACTGTGAAAACGTATCCCCATCCTTATCATCACACATCGCTCGCCTGTTGGGCAGCATTCCCAATTAAACGCCAGTTTATCTTGTGTCCCCCCAGGTCGGTCATCAGGATGTATACCTGTCAATTAGCCCTCTTGGGAATACGTGCAGCAACAAAAATTGTGGGTGAATCAAAAACAAACACACAGACACATACACACACACACATAATGACTGCTGAACTGACGCACAAGGTCTGTCCCGTTGCATTACTTTAGTAGCATATAGTTGTCTCGCATAGGATAATTCCAGATCAGAGTATCAAAAGAGTTTGGACTTCTATGCAATACAATAATTCCCCAAAATCCCAACGCTAGACAACGTTTACAGCGTTCAACTGACCGCATCTGCTACTGTTCAATACGAAAGGTCTGTTGATATGATACAGAAGGGATTGTTCCCTCTGCAAAAGGTCGCCACTGACTTATCAAACTACCTTTGCTATTGTGTTGTGACTTGTGATTGACACGTAGATAAGCCAACAAAATCGCCAGAGTAAATGAAAGACGGAATATTTGAAGTGATATGACGAGTAAATGTCAACAAGTGTACAGGAGGCGGGGTGGTTGGTTCGTTACATGATCGTCCACTTTTGAAAGGGATTGTGAGTTTGACATGATGTGGTTTTGCATTTAGGACTACTGAGTACTTCTTTTTTCCGTTCATGAACTGGAGCTGAGCTGGAAAGAAACTTTCGGCAACGAATTTGGAGTATAAGAAAATGCACAAGACTGAAAAAAATTGAGCTTGCGAGACGTTGAAATGGATTGATCCCTTTTTTGCAATATGATGGGGGACTTCTATCTGTAATAAGAAAAGGAATTGCGTACCCAATTACAGGGAATACGAAATAATAGCAAGTTGCCGAATTCCATTCGATCCATTGCATTTCAAATTTGTTTGATGTTTTGGCTTTAGGTGCCCAATTATGAACAAAAGGATAGCTGCGAAATCACAGAAGAGTTAGAGATTTATAATTGAGATAAGATGCACAAACAGGAGCTGTGCAGGCGCTAACAAGCTCGTTATCGTCACTTAACAGCTTCTAATTAGGTGGACCTAGATGGAAGAAACGTGTAACGTTCGTTACCACACGTTTTAAAACGTGCATGATGGTAATATTTCTGTATCTACTATAATCAATTTGACGCACGTTACAAACATGGACCCAAAATGATCATGAAGTCGTGACTGTTGAAGAAGTGGTGTTAAGTTGATCAAACAATTTGAAGTCAAATTATTGTGAAATCACTATCTATTGGAAGTAGTTTTCAGTTGTCCGCTGCCACAATGTCACATCCGGGGTCATATCCCAACTATCACCAGCATTTCGGCAGAACGTATTGCACCTGCGCGAAACCCGTAATGTACTGTGCATAGCACTTCGGCAGAACGTCTCAAATAAGGTCGTATTCCCATATATAAGGTTAGCATACCGTCTGTAATCTGTAGCTAGGTTATGTCGGAAAAGATTTGTCTGCAGCAGGCAAAATTCTGATGCAACGGTGACCAAACATCCAACGAAAACTGTGAAACATCCAGGGTTTCGCGCAGGCGCAATACTTAATTCCGACGCGCTCCTACACTACCACCAACACTACATCCGGGACCTTACCTGCGATGGTCGGGCCGACGACTCCGCCCAGTCCCTGAGAGCCGATGGAGAAGGGCCAGGTGGAGTCCACGTTCTCCAGCCCGAACAGCTCCGAGTTCACCACGTACACCAGGCAGGTTATTATGGCCGTGCACAGGCCAATCACTGAAACGGAAATAAAACAAATTACACCATTAACGAGATCAATGTGTTGGCCCTAAATAAGTTGGGCAAATGATAAATATTCCACAAGCCTCCACCAGGCCTTTCTAAGGGAATACGGATCGTAGAATTCGGCAAAAAAAAGAGTAAAATTGGCCAAGGGAGTCTGGCCGCGGAAAGGTTGATTCTTTCCCTCCCTGCGTGGCCAGTCAAACCTCAAGGCAGCCGAACCTCCCCTGGCAAATATTCTCCTGTATAAAGCCAGCGTAGTTGGTCTGTAGAGACTAATATTCCACTAATATTCGCTACTTACGTTATGTACCTTTTAAAAACCATCTCACTAAATTAGTACGCCCCTTTCGTCCCCCGTGGTACTCTTGTGGCCAAAGGTACACCTGCGCCCTTCTTACCCGGTTACGCATCGGTACCTGCAATCTTAACTATAGTCTTTTAATCGTGCTTTGATTCTTAGCCCTTCATGTATTTGTGGGTATCCCTGCGAATCCATTTCTCATTTTATATTACACCGCCCTTTGTTTACTCAGTTAAGAGCTGATTTTCTTAACAATCTCTCTGATTTAATCGGTCATTTGATTGATTTAGATGCCCTTTCAGAAAGTGCCAGGCTCCATCTTGTACTCAGGGGATCGTTTGCGATGCCTTCTGAGTACAATGAAAAAATTATGTTACTTACTCAAGATTTTATAAGCGGCACTAAACGTTTTTTTGTTACATAGTATACTCTGTTTTGTTTGATCATATAACACTTCTCTTTAGATATATTACTGTATGCATGGGGTCTAGTTTCTCAGCGCACTACTTGTATGACCATTGTATTTATGTTAAATGTTAAGTGGGGCTGTAAAATAAGTTGTATAACTTGAGTACAGCCCCACTTCGTCCTTGTCTTGTATTGTTTCATTCAATAAAAAAAAAAATAAAAAAAATAATATTCCACCTCCATTTCATTAGCACGCTGAGCAAAGACACAATAAATACGACGGTTTTACTTACATTATGTATGTATGGTGTATGAATACGACTTCATCATATCTCGTATATTTTATTGATAAAGGAGGCACAGCTCTTATGTTTATGGAGCAAAGAGCCGATCCAGCTTGGCAAAAGAGAAAAGGTCATCTAACATACCTATCACTCAAGTCTACTCATCCGGAATTGAACTGAGTCTCTGCATGTCTCACAGAATAATGATAAAGGTGCCCTGTTTGAATGTTAGAAATGCCCCCCTCCCCAATTACCTATTAGTAAATGTACTGCGTTTTGATATAGTAACGGGGATGTCATGATTTTGGATGGTTTTGTATTGCTATCCGTAGATTCGAGCATAACAGTATTCTTTTCAAGTGCTATTGTTGTAGTATTGCTCATGAACCCTGACAACTCTCTCTTTAATCCACTCTTCTTTCATTAGTTACTAGTAGTTCATTGAGCTATTGATACTGGAAATACCAGTATCATTTTTCGGTTGGTAGATTCGACGATACCAAGAATTCCTTCCAACGTCTGTGCCAGCCCTGACTTGCTACATTTCAGAAATTCTATGATTAGCATAATTTGAAGATGCGTGGACTTCTAACAACATGTCTACGTAATGTTATATTTACTGACAACTCCAACAAAGTCTGAAGCAGTGCTGCATCACGAGGCACATATCTCCTTTATCCTAGAAAAATCGGCAGAGCGCCAGTTAAAACATGTGCTCAGTGGTTCAAGACGACAGAAACATGTATCTGTCACGCGTCTACGTCTGGAGGTATTTCTCCTGTTGTCGTTGACAACGCAGCATGTGTGTTATGGGGACAACCCGTGTGCGGACTCAACCGACAACCAGCCACTTTTCCTTTGTTGATGTGGAGAGGACAATATGCCGTGTCCAAAGTAACTCATTACAACAAATAGGAACGAGTGAGCGAACAAAAGCGATGGGAGAGAGATAACTGAAGAGGGGACGACACGGTCAAAATCTGCAAGGTTGTGACGATCTTCAAGTAGATTCTGGTCACGAAGTTCTATTGTCTTCTATTCTGGGAGGAAACACATCTGGCAAACCAGATTGACAGGAGGAAAATACAAGATACGTATCATTAGAACAACACTTTCCAACGTCTTCTCTGGGATTAGCAAGCTTCTTGCCTTTTTTGTCTGTTGCCATCAGACTAGATCAACCGACAATACCGACAAGGAATGCCCTACTGCCCTACTATTTAACCCCAAATAGCACAACCTCTATTGTTCTACCGTTCTTTCAGGGTAGTTTCGGGGCGTACAATGTGGGGAATACATCATCGCAACACACATTTTACTTTGTGTTTTATATGAATGATAACGGGTGTGGCACAACACCACCTTGTTCATAAGTTTATACTTGTCCTTATTGGTCGTTTTCATTATTTATTCCATACCACCATCATTTTTCATTTTTCTCTTTGAAGTTTTCTTTCTCATTAAAATACTTCAATCCTCTCCCCTTTATATCATTGTCATATATCAAATTAGTTTGAAATTCGCCCTAGGTTTTATTTCCCCTGAAGGCATTCCATCTCCTTTGTTCTCCAGGCATTAGCACTGTCCATGCAGGAGAAGAATTGGCAACATAATGGCTCTGGCAGCAAAAGAGAGATAGATCTAATGGAGTACTCATCTATCTTACCACCAGGACAGACGCCTCCAGCTATAACGAACAGCGCATGTCTCTAAGATGTAGGTTACTGGCACGTCAAGTTAGTCAATCACGGTACAATGATGGAAGGGGGGTTACAAAATATCAAAACAGGAGGGGGCAGTGCAAGTCTTGTGTTGATACTACCAAAGCATAGTGCATTGAGTAATCTATTCATCTGTTCGCGTACAAGTATGAGAATGCTTGTGACGTCTATCTCCAGCAAATGGCAGAGTTACTATATGAAGCTTAATTCATGTCTAATTCTGTCATGCATGAATCGGCACTAATTTGGTATGGTCTAATCTTTTCCCTACAAAAGCGTCTAACGTGCCCACGAGCTTTATGGTAAGGAATAACAATGGATGGAATGTAAAATAGGGCACGAATATGTTCTACATGACCTCCTTGCGCTTTTGATTGCTGTCTATGAGCAAAAATGTCCCGAAGGACTCACCCGTGGCAATTATATAAAGCCATAAATTATAACTTTATGTTGAGATACAACACGGATCAGTATTGAAAGAGGATAAGATTTAGCTGAGATCTAACATTATAAATCTAGAATGATCACAAAATAAATCAAGAATCTGTACAAATTACGTTCTTTTATGCTAGTATTTTGATGTTCTTTTAGGTTTGCCCCTTGCCCTACTTACCTAGATAACACAGCCTTCACAAGCCATCAATACTGAGAGATACAACACTGTAAGTCCATTTATTTTCATGGGGATTTGATAGTGTGGTAGAAGTGGAGAGGACTGAGGTTTTCGCGGTGTTTTAAGCTCGTGGTCGACACAACAAAGCATCACAAAAACACATAGTCATGGTGTCATGACTTCGTGGTAGAGGGGGCACCGCGAACACCTAGACAATAGAAATAAAACCGCTACGAAAGTTTCAAGGCTTACTGTATGAATTTGCCAACATGAAAATCGCAAACTGCAAATGTCCAATCCATGAAAGTGTTCTAGTTGTACGAAATGTACCTATGGCGTGGGCAGAACTATTATCAGTATAATCTTGAGAGACATCGTTGTCCAGTGACTGCAATTAGGCAATGATATGGTTCAACTAAATAACTACAAGACGATTATGGCATCACGTAGTTGCAGCTATCGACGTGATACCCTGTACGTAAACATTTGATTGTCGTTTAATAAAAAAATGAGGGTAGGTTAAAATTCACATGGTGTATATGTGATCTGCATAGTGATGAAATGTTTTCTAAAAAAATTCAGAAAAGTGATATAGGTACATGTATACGTGGCATGCAATGGTTTATTGTAATCAAAAACAAATTAGTAGGAAAAATGAAAGACAAGAAAGTGATAGTAAACTTACAGTAGGCTTCCAGGCTTCTAACATGAAAATTGGAGAGAGAAGAAGGAGAGGTGAATCTAGAAACACTTGCAAAGAAGAATCATCAGACACATTTGATAAGTACAGATACAGCAGAAAGTTTCTGTAGGAAGAAAAAGTGCATAAATTTCAACACAACGAGTGAATGTTGTACATCAAATACGGTGGAAGACGAAATACATCGATATCTCGTTTCAAATTCTCTCTTCTGCGATCACGATTGTGCTTTTTGAAGAAGCCACCAAACTTCATCAAGTATTTATATGTGTGCAGACAAAAAGAAAACTAACCTTATATTCCTCTTAACGAGAACTATTTTTATCATCATCATTCTTATCAAAAAGACTGACTTAATAAAAGGAAAATTCGGCTTACCGAAAGCGTATATGATCATGCCGGTGAAGGTTGTGATGAGGAGGCAGCTGAAGGTGTCCACGGCCATGACCAGGGCAGCGGCGGGGAACAGGTAGGCCTTCGGGAACGGAAGGATGTCCCCCAGCACTCCGCACAGCAGCCGCCCGGCCAACTCCGCGAACCCCGCCACGGACGCCACGATCACACCGCGCTTCTCAGGAATGCCGAGAGTTGTCATGTACTTGACCTACAGTAAGAAAGACATGTAAACGCTGTAGGTCTTAGCTTAATGTGTAATTGTGTGCTTCGTTTTTGTGACAGACTCTATTTTGTCTATTTTGTGTTTGTAGTCCTTTTCTCTCTGAGTAATTTTGTGTTATAATATTATGGTGTTAGGATGTTTATACTTACCAAATGAAAGAAAGGGAAAAGCAGCGACAAGCAGAGCACCACGTTTGCAAGAATCCAGAAAAGAAAGCCAGGGTTGGTCCACACTTGTTTCCTGAAGACGCTTTGGAAAAGATTTTTCCTGTTTTCTGTTCCTTCCTTTGCTGAGGTAGAATTTGTCACAGGCGAATTTTCGTCTTCTGGTGTGTCTATCTGTTCCATCAACTTTTCTGTAGCTGCAACATCTTCCATGTCGCCAGGCTTCGCTAATGCACTGTGTTCATGGGGATGGTCGTGGGAATCGTCACTTGCAGTATTGGAATTTTCGTCTGGTGGCGCTACAAAGGCACAGCAACAAAGAACACCCTTCACCAGTATCATGGCAGCAAGGATTCGGTAGGTGTTCCTGAGGCCAACTGACGAAAGAATGGCTTCCGTCAAAGGGTTCATCACAAGTGTACCTTTTAAAGAAGAAAAAGAGATTATTCGATGTTGTACAAGCTTAGTAGTATCATTAACGACTTCCATAGGTACTGCAGTGGAACTTCTGGTATAGTATAGGTATCTCATTTCTACTCAGGCTCCAAAAGAAGTGGTGTTGGTTTGTAAGACAAGTATATGTCACAGTAGAGATGCAAATCCAGTAGAGTTGGCATCTCTACTAGTAGAGTTGCCAACTCTACTAGTAGAGATGCCAATTGGCATCTCTACTAGTAGAGTTGCCAACTCTACTAGTAGAGATGGGAATCCTAGTATTTATACTACTGAGTTCCAATCTCTACTAGTAGAGTTGGGAACTCTACTAGTAGAGATTGGAATTCCAGGCTCTACTAGTTGTGATGGGAATTCTGGCGTATTTATACGATTCTAGCAGGGCACAGTCATATTACTTACCTATTTCTAACAGGGCACAGTCACCTAAAAATGTTTTGGAAAATAGACTGAATATTTTCACACCTCAATCATTACCCAACATCACTCAATTTTTTTGCCACTGAAATGTAAAACAGAGACATTTGCATCAGGCCATTATGAGATAGAGACTCAATGTGCTAAACCGTTTTTCCAGTTAGTTAGTGACTGGGTATATAAGAGGTAATCAGTCATACCAAGCCAGTTCCAAAGTTGATGTCAAAGTGAACAGAAGATATGGCAGATGATGAGCAGCAGAAAGCAGAATTGATATGAATGTATTGATAGAAGCACAATTTGATATCTGAAATATGAAGCAATTTAATTAACTAAATTTATAGTAATTGTGAATGTAGGCTTACCTTATAATATGATAAATTTGAAACTTTAGGTGTTCAGTCTACTAGTATTTAAAAAAAATTGTTCCTTGCTAGAATTGGAGAATATCCTGGTCTAACTCAAAGAATTCCCATTTGTCCTATAAAAGATTAGAATTCCAATGTCTGGTAAGAGAATCTGGAACACTCCTAGTAGATATTGGAGTAAAAACACCAGAATTCCCATCTCAACTAGTAGAGACTGGAATTCCAATCTCTACTAGTAGAGTTCCCAACTACCAATCTCTACTAGTAGAGTTCCCAACTCTACTAGTAGAGATTGGAACTCAGTAGTATTAAATACTAGGATTCCCATCTCTACTAGTAGAGTTGGCAACTCTACAAGTAGAGATGCCAACTCTACTGGATTTGCATCTCTACTGTGACATATACACGTTGCAGTCATCAGGCGTCTTGGTTGGGTATGCCTATATGAGGAGCTATAAAACAGGTGCTCCCTACGCACGCGTGTTTTGGCGAAATAGTACAGATTGCTGAGGAGTCGCTAGAATTTTTCCAAGCTGGTTACATACTATACTATCAGGTTCGCCACTCCAATTCGCGTCGTCCTTACCAAAAGCGAAGCCGGTTGACGCCAGACATGTTGCCAGACTGCGGTGCCTGTGTTGAAAGTGCGCCCCCACCAGGTTGATGGAGGCATTGAAAACAAAGTTGGCTCCCAGGCCGTACAGGAGGCTATAGGTGACGAACATGTAGGCGATGTGTGGCACGAAAGACGTGGTGAGAAGAGACGCACTGCAGAGGACAACGCCGCCAAGCGCCACCTAGCGGAAAATATAAACATGACGAAATCAATTAGAACTTGGTAGCGATCATATACAATTTGTCTGAAACATGAGTACGATATACACAGTCACCTGTTTTTATATTCTTAACTTTAAAATGTTTTCTAGCATCAGCAAATATGGAAATCTGACGCACCAGTCTAGCAGGCGATTGGTCAAATCACTAGCCGTTCCGGACAGAATAAATAGAGTCTGGTTTGGAGAATTTACATGTATATCAGCATCACGACAATAAATGTTGCTAGACGGACCTTACGGTGGCCGAAACGCAGGAACAGAGGCGTTGAGAGCGGTGAAGCCAGGCACAGCAGTCCGTACGTCACAGACCCGATCCATCCTGTACAGACATGACATGGGATAGTCAGTTTTCTCCATACAAATTAGTCGGTTTTCTCCATACAAATTATTCCATTTCAAAGACTCTAAATACGTAACGTCAACTCTCATCATCCCGCCACCACACCGCCACATAAAAAAAGCGGTATCATCGAAGACCGAGGCCTTCTCGAGACTGTAGTCTAGATGTTGAACACCTGCATATCTGAGGTGTATATATAGTTCAAATTACTGCCAAACGCCAACCCTAGTACGCCGACGTTAGACAATTATTGAAAGCTCGCTTCCTGTAGGCCCATATAGTCATTCCTTGAGTCTATCAACTTATAATCATCATTATGTAATTACGCTACTCCAACAATCAACAATGTTAGTTTTTTTTGCCTTCGCCATTCTTAGCATGGGATTAGATTTAATAGCACGATAACGAGAGGACCATCATTATTGTATTTTTTGACAGAACAAGGTCACTTCTATATAACTATTGCATGGATAAACATCATTAATATTTCAACGGCTGTCAACTATAGACTAGAAATTTATTACCTCATATAAGCACAGTACTCTTTGTATACAAACGTCAACTTCAACTTACTCCAGGTCTTTGAAATACATAAGCTATTCGGCAGGTTTCATGATTTGGCTTTTTCGTTTATCACGTGCTGTAGCCAGAACCTCCATGAGCCAGAAATATGCTACATGTATAAAGAGATTGCACATTATAATTGGCATGGCGATTTCGTTCTCGATACTACGTTAAGTTTTGGGGCCGAAATGTTACATAGTAGTTTGTTCGGGTTGCAGAGGAGAACTTTTGAGAGTCTCAATGTATCACTTCCATTCTTTTTATTCCGCTATTTATGCGTCAAGGACAACAAGATAATTTGTCAAAGTGACATTTCAAAGAGGGTCACCGGAGGGTCACAGAATTTCACAATTTCAGCATTTCGGACGAATTTTTCATTTGAAAATCTACCCTGTTATCTTGGACTTGGATGAGAGGTGACCTGTAAAAATCGCGCAGTACACTTAATCAAGAGATCATTGGCCCCGCTGCGGCTGAAAATGTCTTGGGTCAAGGTTGGGTGCCATCTTCCTGTTTATCACAAAACAACTAGAATAGCACCCAGCTGCAGGCTAAACAGTCTCTAGTCGTCAGGAGAGATTTTTTACTGCCGCGTGGACTGTGGAGTGCTGTGTGACACCGACTTTTAACAGACAACATGGAATAAGACCGGCGCTGACCAACCGCATGGAAGTAAACCGATTGCTATGAATGCGATTCGTAAAAAAAAACACAACGGCTACGGACAATGGCGGCTCTATAGCAGACTATCAACGTCCTTGATCGGAAAGGCCATTGACCTAATGGTGGCTTGACACATGTGTAACACTGTCTAAGTGGTTACCGAGAAGCCCCTGTAACCCCTGTTTCCTTAATCGGGTTATTTAGTCCTCACTCTCAGATAGTCAAGTTTTTCTTTGACATGATGTTAAATGGAGAAGATACATGTACGCTGTTCCAGTCGTATTCACTCATGCAGCCTGTAACATTCATGTGGCCTTCAGGTATTGCCATGTGGTGACTATTGAGTACGGCTACGTTGTTTACATGTCTTAACTGCCATATATTTGAAGCAATCCATTCAATTTCGTTTTTTACATTAGTAAACAACGAAAACCATCATCGCGGTGTTACTATTAGTATGTCCTGGTCAGAAATCGATCTACTGTCCGGTTTCTCGGGAAGAGACAATGCAAAGGACAATGGCCATTGTTTTTTTCTTACTGCTGTACGGCATATCATTCATTGTGCAGGTACGGTAGGTTTATCCACATATATAGTATACTTCAATACAAGCATGATTAAAATGTAGTTAATGTACCGTATATGATGTGTTGTGAACATATCTGTAGACTACACTGCAGACAACGCAAAAATACACACACATGTGCAAACACGTTCAGAACATACATGTACCTGTAACGGCTGCTCCTCCACTCAAATGTCTTTCCAGCTGCTCAAACAAAACCCCGTAACTCGTGATAACTCCAGTAACCGTCGTGAACAAGACAGGAACGATACAGACGATCAACCAAGAACGCCAAGCCACCATCTTAGGAATACTGTAATCTCTTTTACTGCTCTGCAGGTACAGAGTATTATACCGTGGGTAATAAGAAGTGGTCTAACTGGTTTCGGCGCACGTGACACGTGTTTAGCTTCTGTAATTAGTTTGTGCATTGGAGGACCATGTAGCTCTTCACAAGATATCCGAGGTCTAGGCGAACCGAAAGGAAGCGCGCACCATTAGAAAAATAGCCCTGACTGCTTGTTGACGGTGTCCCCATTTAAACCTTGGTGTCCTGGATCATTGAACGCTGATTAGTGCAATGCACGTTTATTCCGCTGTGCGGCTCCAAATTCGAGCTCGTTGTCAGCTGACCAATTTGATACTGTTTTTTTGCCACTCTAGGATCTGCTTGGAGATTACACAAACATACAACCTCGTCAGGAACCCTCGTGATGTACACGTGCTGCTATAGTTTTTGTAAAATACATACTGGTCGTTTCATCACATCCAAGCAGATATTTGGTAGGCAAAAAATCACCACACCGTTTCATTGAGCTGACATAAAACATTAATTCCTAACAGTGACGTCGATTAAGGTTAGATCCAGGTAGAGAACATTACATAACTTCTAAAACTTCAAAAAGCTCCTTGCTATCTTCTTGCCAAAGATAACATTACGTTTCCGTTGTTTTAGGTGTGTGAAACGCAAAAGAGACATGGGCAAATTCGATGTACTGTCACAAATACGTTCCGCTCAAATTCCAATTGAAGGTAATTGTATTTGTATCAGCGTTTATAAGGTATTTTGTGATTACCTATTGTTTGTTCTTCGAGTCATTTAGTTCCAATATTGGTCTATAGGGTAAATGATCAACATATGTGTCCCTTGCTGGTCTGTCTTTGGGACGAAGATCTTAAAAGATGGGGGAAAGCGTCAATGAAAACACACAAAACACGACTTAGAGCATAGAGGGCTACACAAACAAGGCGAAGCCGTGCATCTACTGGGAGGATTACGGTGTTTACGCATCAGAAGTTTCACAGAAAACAAGACCGCGCCGAGTGATTTGTTGACAGTCTAGCCATGATTACAATTAGACTGCATCCTAGCTGAAACAAAAAACGCCACTAGATGAGCGTGCCCTCGAACCGGGCATTGCGTGAAAATGGCCCACGTATTGCTTATCTCTCTCAGAAAAACAATGGTCCGTCAAAAAGAACGCCATGGAGAAAATTTGTGAGGCCGTCATCAGTGTGCAATATGTGGTGGGGTGTGGTACTCGGTAAACACTGCCATTCCCGACGAAAGAAAACAATGTAGCTACTCTAAACACGTATTGTCTATTTCCTATAGATGCCATAACATGCTCCACAATCATTTTATACAATCAAGATTGTATAAAACATGACCCAAAGACAGGAAATAGTAAGTCATAGTAAACAAATTATGCTTATTCAGCAATACGCCAGTCGTGTGGGATCTTGCTATGGCCATGAAAGATACAATCTTCGTCTATGTTGTGTAAAGTATTTACGGTGTTAGAAGCCTTACCGATGACCGTGGTGTTGGTGCCAAACTCCCGCTCTAGTTTGAGGAACCAGGCCCCGAAACTCAACATGGTGCCGATGACTGAAGTGTAGGTCAGCAGCGTGCATACACACACCAGCCATGCCTTCCCCCGGGGCCCACACAGCAGCAGCCGTAACCTATCGTTCCACTCCATTCTCGGACAGACCTCTCTTCATATTTTCCAGTCCTGCAAGTGCAGATTTTGGCAGGGTTTAGCCACGTCCTTGCCCGAAATCAGATTATCATTTTTCTGAGATACGCACACGCGTTATCTCCGTAGACATCTGGGTGAAGTCCAATGTAGGTCAAGGGCTGTCTTCCGACATCTGGGGCAAGGTCTGATCTCCAGGGCGCTGTGTCCGGTCGTCAAAATTGCGGTAGGATTTCTGTCTTCAGTCCTTCAGTCAACACTGACGAGAAAATCCGCCGAGGAACCTCCCTAGCACGCTGGTGACACGGAAGGATTCTTGGAGTAAACAACAGCTGATGAGTTCCGGCTTTTCAGGAATCTCTGTGGCTACCCGTAGTATTCTATCGTCCAAATCGTTATCCTGCATTCCATTAGTCTTGTCTGACATTTGCATAACAACGGAACAAGCCCACAATAGCCAGGCATAAGGACATGGAAGGACATAGAAAGTGACCACAGAGGTCAGCTGATGTAGACCCCGCTGTTCCCTGCACGCTTGAAGGTGCTTGAAGGGTCAGTCAGCTGGACATTACGTATAGCCGGGTCACATGCGGCCACACACGGGTTACTGACCGGTCTGTGTGACTGGTAAATATTAGCCGAGAGGTTTTGAAGCAAGCTGTTGCCTCCGACTGCAGTACAAAATGTGCCCTTAGGCTTTTCCTTTTTAAACGGCTTTCTTTCAATATTGTTTGATGGCAACAAATAAAATCGAAAGCCTGTTTTTGTACTACTATATAAAAGATGTCGGAAGAACGGTGTAAAATTAGCCCTCTGGCTCTAAAAGTTTGTGTCTACTATTTACATCGTACTAATACATGCTCTGCTTTTAATAAGGAGCTTTGCTAGAGAATTCCTGTGCATATTTGCTCAGATAAAGCAACTAAACTCTATTAAGAAGTAATACTAATTGCTTCACTTTTTGCACACGATGTTGCTTACGTATGCAGTTTTTGGCGGGAAAACACGGAATGTACACTCTGTTACAGTAATGGAATCTAATGAGAGTTAAATAGAAAACATGTTTGATGTTGCAGAAATTATGAGACACGTATGCACAAAAACACACACGGGAATTCAAAACAAAGGTAAGCGTGCTCTACTAACTACTAATGGGTCCTAATATATCTGGGGCTTTTAACGGATAATCTGCAAACAAGGAGGTTCCTCCTTGCTGCAAAGCAGCTGAGTTCAATGGACAGAGGTAACAGTGCCATATACTATAAGGTAAAGTCCATATTATGTCTCCTGGCACGCTACACATTTAAAAGTATAGCAAACCAGATGGTTTGGTCCGAAGGATCAAGCACGCACTCCAAGAGCCCGCCACTGAACTGAGCACAAGTAAGAAGTACTTTAAATCGTGAAATATTCTAGCCTGGGTACCATCCGGATTTTCGCTACGCAACGCTCGAAAAAATGAAAAAGTGATTTTTTTCGAGAGTTGCGTAGCGAAAATCCGGATGGTACCCAGGCTAGAAATATTCGCGATGGTGATGTATGTTTGTGGTTTGGCAGTGACTCTATAAAACAGCGAACTTCTCATCGCAAGCATACCGTTTGTACCTCATTTACTGTTTAAATGCAGTTTTTAGGGCTTGGAAACCAGATTTTTCAAAGTCAACATTCTAGTCATTCATCTACATACTGAGTTTGACTGCACTGTAATCAGGGTATGTATGTGTAGCTACACAAAAGTCCACTAAAAATTCGGAAAAAAAAATTCACCGGTCCCATGCCGTAACCTAATCGACGGGGCGTCCGAGTTTTTGGTGACGGTCCTAAGTCCAGATTTAAATACCACCAAAAATGTCAACCCGTCAACTGCCCGGTGGGAGGTCGGTTTGATGACGTAACTGTAGCAAAACCGATGTCCCCTGACTTATCATTAAAGCTTTCCTATAACGAAGAAAAATATCTCAACTTAGCGAACATACGTCACAGGTCCTCCATTACAAAACTAAGAATCAGTTGTCGCAAATTACGAATCGAATCAGGAAGACATAACCGCACTCCTCTAGAACAAAGAACCTGTCAATTCTGCAGTTTAGGCCGAATAGAAGATAAAATACATTTCACCATAGATTGCCCCTTGTATAGTAGAGATAGACTCATATTTTTTAGCCATGTATTAAGTATATTTCCCCACTTTAGTTATTTGACAAGTAAAGAGAAATTTGTAACTTAAATTTATTCCTTTTAACTTTTGATAAACCTACTCTAAGTAATCTCACAGCCGCATATATCCATACAATCACTACCAAGCGAGATGAAGCCGAAAAGAATAGAAATTAGACATTTATTTACACTCTTATAATTATGTTCATATATTTGTAATGTATATGTTTATGTTCATGTTCTGTGCCCATGCGACCTGTACTTAGTTCTGTAGAACACAAATGTACAATAAAGGTCTTCATTCATTCATTAAAGCCAGGTCGGGGCCTAGCCTAGATCGGCACCATTTTGGAAATATGACTGAGACGTAAGAGGGACATGTACTTGGGGACGCACACGCCGATGACACGTGCACAAACTACATGCTATGGACACAGCTGAACTAACATCTCTCTCAGACATGCCTCCTTGGCAAATAACAAACAGGGCACTGACAACAGAGAACGCCGATACTGTAAATCTTGACATGTTCGCGGCAGTTTTATTTTCTCATATTTTGGTCTCTCCACCGCCTGTCTGTCACACAAGAAATTCTAGCCTAGCACTATATCTATCATATACAGTGTTGATTGATCTTCATTGTCACTTCTGTCATTAATTAGACGACGTTTCACATTCCTTTCACGTACACTTCTAACATCTTACATTCTAGTCATCCATTTATTTTCAGTCATATGGCAACTAGACAGTCCATAATCACTTACTCCAACACACAACACAACAAATGTGAACATAGGCAAATATCTACATTGTGCTGTTGAGATGTTTTGACAAATTCTAGAATAGATTTATGGGATCTATTTCTAAAATTTATAACAACTATTGACTTAAGATATACGACATTTAACAGTACAGTGTTTTATGGAATAATCTATATTTTACAACACCTTTTTTTCTGCTTGGGCTCTAGTTTTGTAGGGGTTTCATTTGGAATTGAGATACTAGTAGTACAAGTAAAAATATTTCAATTTCAAGCTGTACAAGAAGTGGTCCGATCAGGAAGGCCAAACGTTGCATAGTTGAAAATCAAGACTTTCATATGAAAATCATTGCAAAATACCACTTACTAAATACTGAATGCACTTTTCAGGACGTGACGGCGCGCGCATTAGCAGTGTTTTCCTAATAAAAGAAATGACTTCACTTGATGGCGGTTACTTCTTCGTCTTAGTTGTAGTTGTATTCATACCCCAGTCTATCTGTGTACAGGCTAGGTTGTGCTTGAACAGGTTATATTTGAACCTTAGTGCTTCCGATTTTTCTCCGGGGTTTCTAAACTTGCCGTAGTCTTTGAATTCAGGTCCACCTTTGCGGTTGTGCCCAATGACGTTGTTGCGACATGCGGCAGTCCGGAGCCTTCCAAGTGCCGAGAGGAAAATCTCTGTAGAAACACAAATAAGCAAAACTTGTAACTAACACAAAGAAAAGACATCCAATTTTTGTAGCCGAATTGACACGAAACTAGGTATGAGGTACATCCTCAGTATTTGTTGTCACGAATTAGGATCGGGGGAAAAACACTCTAATTTGTCGATCTTCCTCATATTGGATCAAGTAACACTAGTATACACAGTAAGAATCAGTCAATCAAGAACTACACGTATGTTCATGCATTCAAAATCGGGACTGGCATGTCCAGACCATGAGACAGCAAACCGGAAGTTATTCTGCAGTGTCATAGAGAGCCGCTAGGACGTTGCTGTCATCTACTCGCATACCAAATATCATCCACAACTTCTCGAGATGCCCACAGACAATGGCACCGAACACAACCTTCTTGGCGAAGGCAATTGAGATAAACCTAGCACGACATTCTCAAACATACCTTCGTGTCCGATCCTTGCCAATGCTTGATCTGGGTCGAACCCAATGGACTTCACCTCGTTTGTTGACGCCATGAAGAAATTTTGGCAAATTTCGTTGGCGTAACAACCTAAGGAATATCATAATTTTTTTCCATTATAAGAATGCACAAATGTCTTGATTCAAACGTCTACGAAATACGGGTAGAACAATTTGCAGAGAATATGTATCCAACACACGCAAAGTGCGAACGACTTAGTTGCTATATACTTTATAGCAATAGCAATTCTTTTCATATCGGTAACACCCATTCATATATTCTTTTCTCGGGTCTATATACTTAACATACCAAATCCACTTTGACAAAATCAACCACAAGAAAAGGGGGAATAGAAATAGAAATAATATTTTACGTCAGTCTTTGCTTTCTTATGTGTTCTGTTTTGTATTGTTTGTTTGTTTGCTTGTTTGTTTGTCTTTAAAAGTACAAGAAAAGGCTTACCTGGGAAGCCCGGTATCTCGTGAAAGTGGTTGGGTTCGTACCGCTGAAGAAGACAGATGTTGTTCTCGTCCCCAGTGACTTCTAACGTGCTGGAAAACTTCGACTCTCTCTTCTCGTACGTTGCGCTCACCTGCGTGAAAGAGAAAAAAAAGTGAGTTAGATCTCACGCTTGTGCAGAAATGTACTGAAACAAAGCATAACAATGTTACAGCACTTGCCGTCAACTTAATGTATCAGAAATAACGTTTAAGCTAAAAAAAATGCAAGCGACAGAAGGATCGGAATGAAAATACGGAAAAAGACAACTTTTCTAGGCGTTTCCTTCTAATTCTTCTGTCTTTTGGACAGCTCATAGAACAGGAAGAATCAGCGGAAAATAGGGAGGTTCAGATGTAGATTTATCGTATCAGAAAATATGAGTTACTTACCAGGTGGAAGTTTGTGTTGTCCAACAGTGATACAAGCATGTGCAGTTTTGTATCATTCCTGATGTAGTGGTCATCGTCAGTGTACAGGAAGTATTCTGTTGACACCTGGGATAAACCCAGATTTCTGCCGGCGAAGTAACCCTGGAATAGAAAACACACATTATGGCTGGTTCATTACCATGAAGAAATTTGGCATTTGTGCTGGTGCCTACAAAACGAAGGACGTCAGGCGAAGGGCCTTCTAGTGGATTTCTATGGTACTGCAGCGAACATCCACTTAATTTTTTATATCTCATGCTAGGGTCACCAGTTTTGAATGGTACTTAGTTTGGGAATAAGTGCTGCTGAACCCTCTATCGACTTTACTTGGAACTGCTGGTGTTTTTGCCTTAATCTTTGAAACAACTCGAAAAATATATGTTCATGATTTTTTAATGGTGACTAACCCAGAATCGACAATCTTTGTTGTTAAAAGGGAAAATGACATACTATGTTTTCCGGCATCCGGAATTGATCGACGTTTTTCCCCTGAACGCTGGTGAAGAGCTTGGCGGGAGTGTCGTCTGCGATGACCATCCTGGTCCCGGGGTAGTGCTCCTGGATGGACGCGATCAGCCGTTTCAGGTTGCTGTACCGGAAGAAGGTCTTCACCACCGCGGTCACTCTGTCTTGGAACTTTCCTGAAATTAAATTTAAAACAAGATTGGATGAGGGTATTTTCTAGAACATTCAAGACGTCTTCCGATGCGATAACTGGTACTATTACACATACATTGTATACACTAACGACAAAATGGTAAAAACAAAAAATATAAGCAACAGTTGTATGCTCACCTCCTTTTTGGTCATATAGCCAGGGCAACTGGACTTGCTGGATGTGTATGGGTATGGTTGCAGTAAAACCATCGTATTGAAGCCGCACTACAAAAAGAGAAGAAGAGGACATTTTTACATTGATGGAATGTAAATCGCCTTCTCCGTTGTCTTCTGTAGCTGGAAGCGAGTTTTGTACCAACATTCTACAGAAGATTGCGGGAACAAGAACTACATGGTGGGCTGTCCAAATCAGCTGACTAGGACAAACATGATAACGGGATGAAACATACAGTAAGGGCCATAACAATTTAAATGGCCCCTTGATTTTTCATTCATCATAAGGTGCCGTTTCCATTCCTCGGACTTGGACGGGAATATGTTGGTACGAATAACAACATGATCAATGGCTCCATTCCATAGGCGTTGCCAAAAAAAGAGAAATATGTGTTGTCATGCACACACACACACACACACACACACACACACACACACACACACACACGCAAACACACACACACACACACACACCAATCTTCCTGCTCCAGTACGCTTATTACGTTACCTAAGTCGAATGTGTTCGCATCATACTGCGTATTGCGATACACGATGTACTGTAGTTGTCTGTTCAGCAGAGATGGGTTGGACGTGCGGATGGTCATTTTGGCGCCCCCCTCCCCTTCCACTGCTACATAGTCCACACTGCTGACCAGCTCGAAAACCCCCTTCTCTCCGCTGAGGTGTGCCTAGGATGGTCATAGAGAGTTTTCAAGCGATCAACGTCTGTTGAAATGAAGCCATGTCGCTGTGTTGGTCAAGAACTGAGTCTAGCGTTATCACAATCATTGAATCACATGATAGAAATGGAAAAACTTCAAAAGAGCAAATATCAAAAGGTAGATCATACATAGACATACAATCCAACACTTTTGCTATCAAAAGTGACACTGGTGGTTTAACTCGCGATTGAGTCATAGCGTTTACCTGTCTTTCTGGAAACATATAAAAACTCACATCAACCGGGTAACCTAGGACCGGCATATAAAAACGGAATCTACTTATACAACCGTTCATCAGTAATCTCCTATGCATGTACACTTCAAATATCAAGGTTTTCATGACATTTTCAGAAGGACGAGCAACACCGTTTTTATAGTGTGTCAAACTTACCGTTAGCTGGGGTTGACCTTGGATTGCACTGGCATCGAACCATTCTATGCGAACTCCTATAGATATCAGGGGAAAGGGAGATAGAAACTTTGGCTTAATTGATCTTCTTCGTTAAACATTTCCCTGTTAAATGTCATTGATTAACAACAACCAACTTTGATCCGCTACAACCAATAATTAAAACGTTCTTCGAACGGATCGTCATAGGGACACCCTTGAACATGGAGGCGAACGTAGCTATTTACATTTCAGTACATGTACTAGCTAATCGTAGCTCAAGTATTTCTAACCTTTGTCAAGCATGTATAGCTCACAGAAGATACTGTCAGAAAAACACACACAAACTTGCAAATATGAAATTGAAAAAGTCATGTACACTGGAGCTACGGTCAAAAGAAATATGCAGATCAAGGACACCAATATGGCGGTTACCACCGCCTCATTGATATGCAAGATATACCATACCTTTTAACCGGACTGTTCTCAAGGGTCTACAGTAGACACCGTGAGCCGGGTAGCTGATTGGGGAAGACCCTTCCACTTGGTTGTAAACATCCCTTAGATCAATGCGCCTGAGGGAACATGTAGAATTTTATCAATCATCTTGATCTAAACCAAAGTTAACGTAGGCTACCCAAATCATGAAATGTTTCTTCGATAGAATGAGATGAAGAATGACATCTATACGTTGATGTCTGAAAAATACGTAGTAGCGTCGTTCAAGTGAGATTAGCGGCTGCGGGAGCATTTCTTTTCAAAATGACGCGGTGGGATCGAAAAACTTGAGGATTCCTTTTGTTTAACGCTAAACAACAAACATACCAATATTCCTGAGCAATAACGTTAGGATAGGATATGGTAAATAGATCAATGTTGTTGAGATATCAGACAAAAAAATTCTGATATTGACCTTCAATTACACAACAAAACACACCAAAGTAGAAAAGTTAGACACTCACCGTCTCTCAAATCTTTCCAAACTTGCTTTCTGCTCTTTTTGTTTATTGGCCAGTTGCCATGGTGCCATGTAGTGCGCAGGTCTCTGTCCACCGCACTTACAAGGGGTCTCTCTGTATACGGATGGGGGAAAGTTCTTATGAATTCTAGGTAGTACTATCTTAATTTACTGGTCATACGGCAAGTCTTACATACCCCTGCTCCGTAAGGAGGCGGGAGCGGCCAGAAGATCTATACAAGTCTCGTGTTCTCGCGAGACTAGGTCACTCCTTGGTCAAGACGTACAGTGGACGTCGAAAATTTGGAGGTACTAGCTTACAAAACAGTTACTGATTAATGAATATTCTACCACTAGTAACTGCTAAGCCATACGTGAATGATGAACCATCTTCAACGAACGTTGGTCATTGGATTTTTGCAAAAAAAAATTGATCCAAATGCTACAACAGCAGTTACAAAGTCAACGTGTTAACGTTTTAAACGTTTGATACATATTTTTTTATAACCGGAAAGTGTAAAAATTGCTGGTGTCAAAATATATATAATATATGGACATTTGTGTTTGATTCATACATTGAAGAGTGAAGTACATGTGAGTTATTTATTATTTCTTTCTTTAGGTCAGAAACAGTGAAGCGGACTCCTCAGCAACCACACATTTCCCAAGTATGTACAAACAGAAATGCGACTTTACTTACTTTTCTGTCGGTATGTCCTCCGGTTCCCGGCGTAGGGAGCGTAGGATTGTTTTGACTTCGTAACCGGGCGGAGCTTGTATGGAGCCCGCTTCTCTTTTAGCTATAGTTTCGGCTGACATGTTGAACTTCACCCAATAGTTGCCACAAAAGCTGTATATGTGGAGTTACGGAAAAAAATCAAAATGAATTAATATATGAATAAATGAATTAAGATGCTTAGTAGCTTTGTAGTAGAGGTCGTTTTGAACTACTAGTAGATCTAGTAAATATACTCAGAAAATGTCGTGTAAATATTTGTGATACAGCAATGATCTAAAAAAACATAGTCCTGTAGTTTTGAAAAATGTCTTTGAACAAAGGACAATTATGTATTACACGCATGGTTTTCTATGTGTACAAATTTCTCAGCAAGGTAAGACAATGATCAAGACTGAATAAAATGAATAAATTGTATATCAAAGTAGGAAATGTAGGCATCCCATGTGTAACTTTCGATTGAATGAAACTACACTGCATTTTACGCAAGGCTTAGTTGAGCATATGATATGCATTCCCAAGGGGGGTAGACACACTTACCATCCGACGAAAAAAAGAAGAGCGCTTTTAAAAAGCCGTGATCTTTGGTCTCGACTCATCTTGACGATTATCCTTTGTATGGTTCACTTCGAATAGAAAAAAAAATAATCAAATACATGTATCAATATGAAATCGAGTCTTGTGGTTCATTCGTGGTCGAAAATGTGGGTGGATATTTATCGTTCACAGCACAGTACAGACCTAACATTCGCTAATAATAGCACAGGCACAAATCTTTTGGTATGGACAGTCTATCTAGTTCGACAGCCATGCTGTTCATTGAAGAATAAATAATTGTCTTGACCTTTAAACCATAGTCTTAAACCATAGTGTTGATTTTGTTGTCAAATTCCCCTCGCAACGTAAAATGTGTTGGAATTCAACATGACCATAAAAGCTCATAGCGATCAATACAATAATCAGAATGAAAAGGTACGTAGAGAACTCAAACTGCTGAAAGGTAAACAGGAAAAGGACAGTGTGTTATTTGGCCTACTTGGGCAAGATAATTACGACAAGGAACACAATTAAATTTAACCACCGGAGTATTCACCTGTCACTGCTGAGTGATAAATAGCGTCGGCTCTGCTCCTGATGGCTTCCGATCCACTGTTACCGGAATTCCGATACAAAATCGCTATTCCTGCACTTAAAAAAGTGGAAACATCTAACGTTATATACGATATGTGATCGACCGAAACACTACACAAACCTTTCAAGACCAACAGTACGCATGCGCCATTCAATGAAAAACCGGTTGGTCAAGGGGTTGGACAATCCTTGAAATAAAGGACGCCATAATTGTCTCTTCTCGGACAATAGTTCTTTAAGAACATGTGACAGAATTTATCTCATTTTGCGTGTTGCAGACAATAATATCAAAATTTGTCTGTTTCGTGTTTTAGAGCTTGTCAAAGTATCAAATTTACAATTGTATATTCTGGTGACCCCCATAAAAGCTACCGGTAACCTGATTGGAAAGAACCCTGGGCACGAGATTCACTAAAGTGTCCTGACGTCATATCTCCTAAGGCGTGTAAAAGATCATTATCAGAACAGTCATACGCAACAGACAGGCTTGTTCACGTCGGCCCTGGGTGTAATTTTTGCGATGCGATGCAGTTACAATGATCAGAGAGCCAATTTAGACGCTGAACAGCAGCTATATAGATAAGTTTTGGAAGGACAAACACGGAGCTAGCCTGTGAGATTCATGAATAACTTGCATTGGCTCAAAGTCAAACGGAGTAATAAACATACAGATCATAGTATTGTCTCCGAACAAGGTCAACCAAAGACACTGAAGTGAAATACATGCCTGTGTTCATTACAGCGAATCTGTCTGCGTCATTAATCTATGAGGAACTAAATTCTACAAGTCGTCTATTGCCGTGGGGATGTCAAAGGTAGCGCCTTGACCTCTCACTCTCACGTCATAGACACGGCGGTGTAAGTAATATGTAGACGGACAAGTTTTGTCGGTCATCGTCCTTGCCACGTCTGCACTGTAAGGTCTCCAAGACTGTCGTCCATTTTCTCGCGCAGGTGAGACCTATTCATTTATTAAAGTTCTTATTCTAGACATATCTAAGCAGGAACAAGCTGTGCCCGCCACTGTCAACGTATCAAGGTCACTGACATATTCGCCGTACGACATGTTTACAAGGAGAAATTCTGTATCTGTACCGTGAGCCAGTACAACCTTACCGTCCTTCGACGCCATCGGTGCATCCTTAGGGGTTATCTTTAGGCGTTTCGCACAAATTTCCGCTAAATATCAGCTGTCTTGTGAGGGACGTTGTTCACTTCACGGAAAAGGAAAGGCTAGGAATCTGAACCATTGTCAACTCGCACCAGCACCTGGGCTAACAGCCTGGCTAAGTCGGTCCACTTCAAAAGCGGTAGACGACATACACGCCCGATATGCGCCGGTATACAAGTACTACTGTAGTTCGAACAAATCCCATTGAACTTTGATTTTAAAAAGTCAAAGTTATCTATATAGCCCCGGTCAAATGTGGGAACATTTCCACAGAGAACTATAAGTTTTCTAACGGATATAGGAGAAACTGGATCTCAAATATCAACAAGTTTTATCAAACTGCTGGCTGATCTTTCTGTGTGGCGTGAGTACATGTCATTTTAGAGGCTTGTCACAATTAAGGCTCTATAACGTAAACAACCGCACCCTTGTTACTGTCATGTCATGATCCAATTACCAAGTTGCTTGACCATTCTTTGCGATAAGGACGTTCTAAGAGAAAGAGGGTACATATGTACAACTAAATCTAGCAATAGTCCTTTTATGTTATGATGTAGATGAATTTCTGAACAACTTGTTGACTGTGGGTAGGATTGTGTATGTGCCTGTACAATGGATCTGTCGATTGACTTATATGACCTTGAAGCGTCAAGCCCGTATGTAGTTACCAATGAATGGGACATTTCGAAAACACATGTATATAGTTTTTGAACTGTCATGTTTAACAGTGCGCGGTAAAAAAAAAGTGACGAAGGGGTTTCGATGTTTTGAGTTCACATTTCTCATAATCCGCTGCAAAATGTCATTAACTACTAAATGATATGGCTGGGAAGTGTACGAAGTGGCGTGTTTTGGGTGAAAATTGATTTCGGGGCCGAGGCTTACTTGGAAACGGGTGTCCTACCGCCTTGGGCGCGGTGCTTCGGTTTGACCCAGTTTGTACTTATAAACCTGCATTTCTCCTCTGGTCTCTCAGTCACTGACGAAAGTTACTGGATGCTAGCTGAAACGTCTGACCGTTTCCAAAATCATATCCAGTTGCTTGAGTAAATGCTTTTTGGCGAATGTAACAATAACGTTGGAATTGATATTTCTAAGTTGCACCCTAATCAACGTCTGAGCTTGAAGGTCATTATTTTCTTTGCTTCGTCGCCAATTATCCACCACAGCAACCGCGACAACGTAAAAGTACATTGAACACAAAGAATGTAGCAATAGCATCGAACCTCGTATTTCGTAATCAAGTCTAACACTCAGATTCGATAGCACATAACATAATTGGTATATGAGAGAGAAACGCCTTTTCTACCGTAAATTGATGAAGTTGAAGGAGATAAAACTTCAGTCTTGTGCAGGGTTGCCGTAGTAAGTCTGATGTTCATCTCGACTTCTAGCTTGCACTCCACGGGCCTGAAACAACAACATGTCGTCAGAGGAGCCAGACACGACCAAAGAGCAGCTGAACCCGGGGAATCGGAAAATGAAGGTTTGTGTGGCGACATGTAACCGCGCCGACTACTCCAAACTAGCGCCGATCATGTGTGCCCTGCGGGAGGACCTGGATATGGAGCTACAGGTGGTGGTAATGGGCACTCATCTCATCGATGATTATGGGTAAGGCTAGAGCATTTTCTTGATAGATGAAACAATCCACATTTCTGCAATGGACTCCCTCCCTCTCTCTTTTTTTGGCTGTCACTCACTCACTCACTCACTCACTCACTCACTCACTCACTCACTCACTCACTCACTCACTCACTCACTCACTCACTCACTCACTCACTCACTCACTCACTCACCCACTCTCCATTATGCTCCCCCCTCTCTCTCTCAGATGCTTTTTAAGAGTCATTTGTTGAACGTTAACGTACTTCTGTTGTGTTACCTGTGCAGCTCAACCTATCGAGTCATTCAGCAGGATGGGTTTGAAGTGGACGGGTTCCTGCACACCATTGTGAGGGGCGAGGATGAGGCAGCCATGGCGGAATCTGTCGGGCTAGCGCTCGTCAAGCTCCCCGACGTGCTGGTGCGACTAAAGCCCGACCTCCTGATCGTTCACGGCGACCGTTTCGACGCCTTGTCGTTGGCAACGTGTGCTGCACTCATGAACATCCGAATTCTTCACATCGAGGGCGGGGAGGTCAGCGGGACCATCGACGACTCCATCCGCCACTCCATCACCAAACTGGCGCACTACCACGCCTGCTGCACCGACCGCGCCCGCAGACGCCTGCTCTCCATGTGCGAGGACAACGACCGCATCCTGCTGTCCGGCTGTCCGACCTACGACAAGCTCCTGAGCTCCCACACGAGGAACTACGGCAGCGTGTTGGCCAGGTGGGCACATGGAGCCGATCCGAAGGAATACATCGTCGCCTTGCAACACCCTGTCACCACAAACATTACAGATTCGCTGAAAATGTTTGATTTGATGTTAGACGCACTGCTGGACTTTGGAGTCAAAACGGTCTTGTTCTTCCCCAATATTGACGCAGGTAAGTCTTGTTCACATTCTGCCTTGCTTGTCCAGATTTTTTCTAAACTCATTATTTCCCATTCAAATTTATCAAAACACGTTCAAAGTCATCACTACACGTCAGTTCACACTCATCTTGTACGTTCCCACTCACGAGTAAAATACGAGTAGTACACGATGCGCTATGACTTTCCCTCTAGATTTTAAAGAAAAACCAATGTCAAAGATTTGCATAATCATTACAGTTTCATGAATTGCTGGTTTCTACTCGAGTCGATTTCAACATGAACAAACAGATCGCACATAATTCTAATTTTCTGCTCTTTAAATTCTCACAGGGAGCAAGGAGATGACACGTACTATCCGTCGACGCGGGCTTGAACATAATCCCAACTTCAGCCTCTGTAAACACATTCCGTACGACCAGTTCATCATCCTGATGGCTAACGCGGGGTGCCTGATCGGGAACAGCAGTGCCGGGATCCGAGAGGCTGGAGCCTTCGGCACGCCCGTCGTCAACCTGGGCAAGCGGCAGATCGGCAGGGAGGCAGGTCAGTTCTAAACATCTCTTTCTGTACATCTATCTGATCTCCGGGCAGATGTAAGGGTCGACGTCCGCTTCAGACTGAAGTGTTTTTCGTGTACTTTTCTGCAACATTTTAATAGAACGTCTTTATATGTACTGTGTTAGATAACTTAGATGGCAGTACAAAATGTACGTGCACACTCCATGTTATGTCTCGTTGTTAATAAGCAAATGCCTGTCTATCATTGTCTGTCACAGGTGAAAATGTGCTGCATGTGAAGGATGCAGACACTAAGGGCAAGATCTTACATGCCATCAACCTACAGTATAAGAAGCAGTTTCCAAGGTACGAGACATCCTTATTGCTCTTAATTTGGGACATCAATCATAGTAAAAACTTCCATAATGCATGCATTGGTATGAAATACTGGTTTACTTGTTCTGTTGCTTGTTTTTGTCTTGTTTGTTTTGCTTTTTGTTGTTGTTTTGCAAATGAGAATTTTAATTGCAGCCAACAAAAGAAAGGGCTGTTATTGAATCTCCAAATCACATACATCTACAAGCAGATATTTTTATCACTCTCAGTTCACACATCTATGGAGATGGTCATGCTTGTCAGCGCATCATGATGTTCATCCATAAGATCAGGGAAAGCTTGGACAAGCCCATCCAGAAGACCTTCATCTTCCCGCCCATGAGGGACACGGTGTCACAGGATATCGACCACATCCTGGAGACACAGAGCGCCCTGGCCGTGGACCTGGGGGGAACCAACCTCAGGGTCGCCATCATCAGTCAGCAGGTTTGTATCAGTATGACCGCCCGTCCGCATAACACATCAGCTTCGCAGGCACGCGGAGCGACGGCAGCTAGCTGTATTACACCGAACGACATGTTACGTCCAATCTGGAGTTGTTTAAAGTTTTCTAGTGATGATTCCCCAACTGTGCTTGGTGGCAACGAGTTCCACTCCACAAGTTCTAGGAAAATACGAGTTTTTGAGCACCTAAATTCTTGGTTGAGAACTCTGATATTTGAAGGCATGGCTGTTTCTCGTACCAGACGTCACACCCCACTCGTAGCCCTCCCTCCTCTTCCCCACACCCACTCGTACCCTCCCTCCTCTTCCCCACAC